AATGTGGCTCAGTGGTAAAGTACTTGCCCAGCATATGTGAGGCCCTAAGTTCAAATCCCAGCACTGAAAAAAAAAAAAAAAATCAAAGGTCTGGAGGCATAGCTTAGTAGAGCGCCTACCTAGCATGTGTGGGGCCCTAGATCCCATCCCCAGTACAGAGGGGGGGGGGAAAGGTCAAGAATGCTGGGCTACTCTTTCATCCTGTAGAAAATGACTGCCACCTAACTCACAGAAGTTTTTACCCACGTAGAACAAAAAAGGAGACACTAGGAGAATGGTTCAAAATGTAATAGGGCTAGTGAGCTGCCTTCCATCCCACTGTGGGCCTAAAGGGTGGAGGCTTCCTAGGCTCAGCACTAGGGAACCAGGAGACAAGGTCAAGGTCAGGATGTCTCACAATCACATCCTGGGCTGGCTGAACCTAGGCTGAGCCCCCTTGGCCAGATATTCCATAATGTTTCTGAACCCTGTGAAAATGGAGATACCATGATCTGATGCACCAGGTTATTGAGAATAAAATGACTGATACCATAGGAGCTTCCAGCGCAATGCTGGGCATGCAATAGGCATACAATACATGATGGTTCTCTTGGTATAGAACACCAACCCACTTGACCCCAGGTGGCACACACATGCAGCAGGTATTAGTTCCTTGTAAGAGTCCTCCCAGGAACGTTACTACCATCTGGCAGGGGCTGATGGCCTCTTCTGGACTCAGAAGACATGTAGGGAAGCGTCCTTCTCCTTCCTTTCTTGCTTCCCCATTTCCTCTCAACCTCAGGCCCCTGAAGGGAGGTGAGAGTCCCACAACAGGGCTGGGATGGGTCCCACTCCTACCCATTCTTCTTGGGCAGGTAGGCTTCCATGTCAAAGAAGACATTCTGCCGCTCCTTAATGTGGGCACTCATCTGCTGGACCAGCTCTGTCTCCTCCTGACTGGCATGGCGCTTGTACCTGCAATGGGAGGTGTGGGCATAGAGATAGGGCATTTCTCAGAGATGGAGGAAGAGCAGGGACCTCTCCATATGTCCACCCCAAACAGGGCCTCTCGCAACCTCAGTTCTCCAGTAGCCTTGTGACCTTGGAAAAGTCCTTGAATTTCTTTGCCTTATTTTCCATACTGGAAAAGTAGGGCTAGCAGCAGGCCCTTCCTTATAAACAACAGCCTTTGAGAATGATTCAGTAAACATAGTATAAAGCCCAGAATGATACTTGGTACACAGTAAGATCTCAATAATCAGCTGGCAAAACTTTTTTTTTTTTCCTCACTATTCTACAGGAAAATGTGTAGAAGTATAAGCAGGTGATCACAATCTGACTGTCACCCTCTGGAGAAATGTAACTCTTAAAACTAGAAAAACAAAGTCTGGAGACATGGCACCCTTAGGATGGTGGGAGAGGTCCTTGGTCTAGGGCCCTAACTCACAGGTCAACCTTGCAACCTGGTGCTTCACAACTAGGGACACTGGGCAATGTCTGGAGACATTCTGGTTGTCACAACATGGGTGAGGAGCCCCACTGGTACCCAGTGGGTACAGGCTGGATGCTGCTAAACCTTCTACAAACACCCAGAACAGTCCTTCATAGCATAGAATCATCAACAGTGTTAAGGCTGAAAAACTCTGGGCGGAAAACAGATGGGACTCTGGAGGCTGCCATCAGAAAGCTGTGCTTTGCCATGGGTGACGATGTGTCTACATGATGATCCACAACCCCTTATGAGCCCCTGATTCCAAAATGTGCAGCCAAGGCAAGGGATCTGATCAACACCTTCTCCAACAACTGCCCGCGAAGGAAGGGAGAATTGATCAGGAGGCACGAAAACAGAGGCCCACATAAGTGACCTGGTCACGTCACTTAAAGCCTCAATTTCCCTGCCTGCCTTGGGGGATGAAGGCATCCATTGGATGCCCTTACCTACAAGAGATGAGCTTCCCAAACCATGAAGACATGAGGACTGAGAAGTGAACATGATCTGGGCTCAAGAACTGAACTCAGGTACTCTTGGGACCGAAACCTGGGACCCCAACCTAGTACCTCCAAAACCAGAGACCCTGGTGGGGAAAGCACCCCACATCTGTGAGAATACCTGCTGTAAACCTGGCCAGCAAGACTTCTTTCAACTGCATCCCAGCTTTCATCTGAGAAACCTCCTCTCATTCTTTCCCCCCTTCCATTTAGACCAAGCAGGGTTTTCCCACTCACCAAGGTCCATAGACTGAGCACATGACACAGTCTTACTCAAGCAGTCTCAGGGACTGGCTCAAAGATGGGCACATGACCAAGCCTAGCCAATGAGGCTCAATCCCAGGATTTCTGCTAAAGCTCTGGGGGAGACAAGTTTTCATTCTGTTGGAGGGCGGAAACAATGCAGTAGGAAAGAAGGCTAGAGGATCTAAACTTGTTACTGTAAGTGGCCATCTCAGTGACCAGGAGGGGACAGTCAGCCTGAGTGCAAAGCAAATCTGGAGGATGACAGAATTTAGAGAAAAACACAGATTCCTACAAATACCCTTTGATTCCCTGGATCCAGCAATGTCTGAAGGTACTCCTGCTTTTTTTTCCCATTAGAACTTCCATTCTCTGTTTAAGCCAGTTTTGAGATGGTATTCTGTCATTAAACAAGGAGGAAACAATTAAGTTGCAGCCCCACCTACCTCTGGAGCGTGTGCTTCAAGTCCTTGAGCCGCCTCTTCTGCTTGTGGATGGAACTGCTACACAAGGCCTGCAGTGCTGTCAGCTCCTCCAGCTTCTGCCTGTAGATCCTGTGGGTCTCCTGAAGGATGGAGTGGCCAGGGTAGTTTTGTGGGGGAACATTAACAGGTCGTTTTTTATAGTTTGCTTTGGTCAGGAGACATGGCTACAGAGGTCACAGGCTGACAAAAAGCAGCATGACACAGTGCCTGTGTCATGCTGCTTTTTCCTGCCCAGGTTCTATTCGTTCTGATGCTAACATCAATTAAATATGCCACTGAGGGGCTACGTCTAATCAATTCATTGTCCAGATGCTTTGGTAAAACTTGAGGTCCCACTCTAAGGGTGGTCATTCAACCCTGGCCTGGCCAACCAGTATCCTCCAATTCCCTAATAATTGCTGGGTTCAGAGTTGAACACATGGCTCCTGCTGGCCCAGTGAGAGCTGACCCTGGGACTTTGGCTAGCAGGACTGGCTTAGAGATGTCCTTTTCCCCCTAGGTTTGCTAATCTGGTAGAAGTTACACATGGACTCTGAGAGGGAAGAGCCTTTCTAAAAATGAAGTCACACAGAAAACAGAACTGAGAGATGGTAAGGGATGGAATTCTCATAGCATCTACTATGGTTTGGATATGATTTGTCTCCCAGAGGTTTATGTACTGGAAGCTTGGTCACCAATGTAATGGTGCTGAGAGGTGGTAGGACTTTTAAGAGGGTGGACCAAGTAGGAGGTAATTAGGTCATGGAGTACCACCCTTGAAAGGGATAGCTTATCTTGCAGGAGTAAGTAATGTCTCAATGGGTTGGATTAGTACTCATGAGGGCAGATTGTTATAAGCAAGGTTGGACCTTCCCCTGACTCTCACTTAAACATGTGCTCTTCCACAGGTACCCACTGGCCACCGTCACACATGCCTCCACCATTTGATGGCCATTTTCCATGTTATGAGACAGCAAGAGGCCCTTGCAAGATGTAGCCACTTAAGCTTGGACTTTTCAGCCTCCAAAATCATAAGCCAAAATAAACTTCTTTCCCTTATAAAGCACCCAAACTCAGATATTTTGTTATAGAGACAAAAAATTAATTTTGGCTCTTGGATCTAGGCAAGTCTCAAAGACATGTTATCCAATACCCTGGGTTCTATGAACTGATAAATTCCCCTTCACTTACTACTCACTTTGACTTCAGTTTCTGATCCTGGCAATGGGGAGAGAGTGCTGAGTCAACTAGAATAAGAACATACCTCCTCCCTTAAAGCCACCCTCCCTCCCCCAGACACATTAATTCAATAAACTTGCTATCTCATTCTTAGAAATAACCATTCAGAGCCACAGAGACTTCATCCCAATGTTGGGAGAATGGAACACAGTAATTTCTTGAATTGCTGCTTTGAGGAAAGAAACTAATAGGAAATGTGGAACATGAAATTAAAATCAATAAGCCAATGGACACAATTTAAATGGCTGTTTTTTGGGCTATTGAGGAAACATTTTTAACAAAGGCAGAGGTGGGGATGGTTGGCTAGTGGGGACAGAGCCTAAACTCCCACACCTACCAGGCAGGGTCTCTAGATACAAGGTTCAACCAGAAAATGAGGAAGCAGTGAAGTCGGTCAAGTGGACAGATAATTAGGAGTGAAATCCAGTGATGAGTGATTCACCCTGGCCACCCACCTGGAAGACAGAAGAATCAGTAGCCTGCCCCCGCCCCCCTCTCTCTGGGCCTCCCAAAGAAGGAAATCTTGTTTTTGTTTAAATTTTAAATAATTTTAAACTTGCAGAATCATAAGAATAATAAAAAAAAAACTTCTCTATATTCTTGACCCACATTTACCTACTATTTTCATTTTCATTACATTGCATTTGCTTATCACGTCTGTATGTCCTCTTTCTATATCAGGCATCCATAAACTACAGCCCATGGGCCAAATTTGGCTCTCTAATTTTGTATGGGCAGTAAGGAAATGGGTTGTGTAGGGTTGAAAAAGAAAAATCAAAAGAATATCTTGTGACACATGAAAATTATATGCAGTTGGAATTGCAGTATCCATATGTCCAGTTTTACTGGCACACAGCCACGCCCATTCATTTACATATGGTCATGGATGCTTTGGCACTAAAACAGCAGAGTGAGTGGCTATGACAGAGACCATATGTCCCCCAAAGCCTAAACTCTTCTTTTGGTCTTTTACCAAAAATTTTGCCCACTGCCATGTTATCTCAGATATTTGGGACTTAATTATAGACAACACAACTTTCTACTTCTAAATACTTCAAAGTGTCTCTAGAAACAACGATATTATCTTATATGTCCAGAATACAATGATCAAATACAGAAAATTCAACCTTGATACAGTGCAATGCTGTGACCTCAAAGACCATGCCAATTCACATTCTGGTATCGCTTTCTTTCATGGCACTTCCCTCCAGAGCCTGGATCCAACTCAGTCTGGTGCCTTTCATTATTACTGCTAGTGTCTCCAGCTTCTTTTAACCTTCGATGGTGCCTCAATCTTGTCTTTCAAGAATTGATGGGGTTGTTTGTTTTAAATATTTATTTTTTTAGTTACAGGTGGACACAATACCTTTAGTTTATTTTACATGGTGCTACTGATGGAACTTAGTGCCTCACACATGCTAGGCGAGTGCTCCACCTCTGAGCCACAGCCCCAGGCCTCAGGAATTGATGTGTCTAGAGAGTTCAGTCCAGGAGCTTTGGAGAACATCCTTCAGGCCAGGTTTGCCTGATGCTTCCTCTTGATTAGATTATGCTTATACACTGGGGTTGGAATGCCACTCCCATGATGCTGTGTCCCCAGAGAAGAAGGGACATGGTGCCTGTGATGTTGACTGTGATTACACGGTGAAGGTGTCCATCTACCAGAGTATTCACTGTACACTGACCAACTTTCTTTCTTTCTTTATTTTTTTTCGGAGCCACCCAAGACATGCATGCTAGGCAAGCACTGTACCACTGAGACATACCCCAGCCTCACAGTGACCAACTCTATTTGTAATTAGCAAGTTATCTCAGGGCTGAGGCTCAGTGGCAGAGCACTTGCCTTCCAAGTCCCAGCTCTGGGTTTAAGTTCCCTGCACCAAAAATACATAAATAAAATAAGTTATCTGTGTGGAGAAAGATTATGTGTGAATCACTTCTGAATTCTTCAGTGAAACACAGCCCTCAAGTGCAAGGAACATCTGCTAGTAACAAAGGAAACCCACCAGAACAGGAGAGGGATCACTGGAACAGAGAGAAACCTTCCACAAGGTGGGACCTTCAGATGAACAGCTCCAGGGAGATAAAGGGCCACACTGCCTCCCAGCACTCTGGTGTTGGGTTCCACCATGGAGAGATAAGGTGAAGGCCACACAATCAACAGCCAAATGCTCACCAGGCCCTCCTCAGTGTGAATTAATATTTAATTTCACAAGTAAAACATGAAGACATTATCCTTGTTAAAAATTAAAACACTATGTCATAGAACCTCTCTGGCTTCAGGAAAGCAGGAAGACTTGGTAATCAACTCCAAATGCTCATCTGCCCAGCTGTGTTTGCTTTAGAGGGACAGGACAGAGACACTCCCTTCAAGGCTGTGAACAAAACCAGAACTTATCATCACTTCCCTGAGCTCATTAAAAATTTTTTTTAAAATTGCTTCATGTGGAAAAAAAATGAACACATAATCCCAACAACTCAAGAAGCTGAGGCAAGAAAACTGCAAGTTCTTCTTTGAATATCCTTCTTTCCCAGAAATAACCATTGTTATCAATTTCTTCTAGATCTTCTTTCTCCCTCCTTCCTCTCCCCCTCTCCCCAACATACCTCCCCGCCCCCCTCTCTGCAAGGTCTCACTATGTAGCCAAGGCTGGACTCAAACTCTCCATCCTCCTACCTCTGCCTTCTGAGTAGCTAGAAAACAGGTATCCACTGCCGCACTTGGCTAGCCCTTCTTGTATGTACTCTGCCAAGCCATGGTCCATCTATTTCTGTTTTTTTTTTAATATTTATTTTTTTTAGTTGTAGTTGGACATAATACCTTTAGTTTATCAATTTATATGTAGTGCTGAGGATCGAACCCAGGGCCTGGCACGTGCGAGGTGAGCGCACCACCACTAAGCCAAAACCCCAGTCCCTTTATTATCACTTCTATGTAATAAGAGCACATAACAAAAGATCTATCCTCTTGGAAAATGTATATGTATATAACACAGGATAGTTAACTGTAGGCACTATACTATGCAGTGAGATGAATAAGCCTCAGGGCTTATTCATCTTGTACAATTGAAACAATGTACCCTTTGATTTACCTCCCTACTCCCTGTATTCTATATTCTATATAGATCTGTTTCTATATGCATGAAAAAAAATACACACAAACACACACATACACACATACACATACATACACACACACACACACACACTCATACATTAAAAAACACATACTGTTGCAAAAAAAAATATTGTCCCCAATACTTGGTCTCTTTTGTTTCCTTTTAGTAACAGTATTCCATCAAGCTATAGCTGGGCACATGGCTATCCAGCTAGGAACTACATTTCCCAGCCTCCTTTGCAGCTAGGTATAGCAGCACAACTAAGAGTTAGATGTAGGCAGGAGCAATATGTTCAAGGTTTTCCTTTTGTTTTGTTTGTTTTCATGGTGCTGAGGACTGAACCCAAGGACTTGTACATGCAAAGTATAAACTCCACCAATGACTACTTTCTATATGGAACTTCTTGCTTTCTACTCTAGTTCTCTTGCTGTGATGCAGCAACAACGGGTCGATTTATCTTGAAACTAGCGATGAAAGCTACATGATAAAAATGGCAGAGGACACTGTGCCCTCTCCAACCAAACCATCCTGGGTTCTAGAGTGGCATCACGTGACAAAGCTTCCCACCTATGATGGTTTTAAAGCATGACCACCCATTCTTTAGCATTCCTCACATACAGAAGTCTTTGTTCCCACCCCTCAAATCTAGATAGACTGTGACCAATGTGACCAGTAGAATGTGGGAAAAGAAACACCATTTGACTTCTCAGAGTCACAAGCAGTCACATCGCTTCTACTTTATT